TAAGGTCAGGATATGGGAAGAAGAAAAGAAGGTGTTTCTATAAAATCAAAAAGAGAATTGGACAAATGAGAAGCACAGAAAGGAACCGGAGAGAAGAAAAAATTAATTCACGACTTAGAATAGGACACACAGGATTGAATAGGTAAATTATACTGTGGGGAAGATGAGACGGTGGAACATGTTATTTTGAGTTAGGATATTTGATTCAGAGAAAAGGTTAATTAGGAAACTCAGTAATATGTAAATGAATATTAACATTGTTGATTTACTGCAAAAGGAATCAGGAAGCAAAGGATAACAGGTTATATTTGAGTTTTTGAGACTGATTAAATTGTATAATTTATTTGTTTCGTTTTTGGCCATGCGGTCCACACTCCTTACCAGTTGGTGGCGGTAATGCTCACCTAACGTTTTTGCCAACCGACATAAAACCTTCAACAAGAAGAAGAAGACTTCTCGCCGTCAGTAAAGGCTCAGAAGCTGATTGGCTACGTCACGCCCCGTGATGCGGCCGCTGCGTCACTGTGAGCTGAGTTCGGTAGCATCAGCTGCGGCAGCTAGGGATTCTGCAGCGACAGGGCGTCATTTCTTACATGGTTAAAACACTAAACAGAGACGCTGACACCCGCGGATCTATAGGAACGAGTTTGAAAACACCTGCCCATCATGGAGTCCTATGACATTTTAGCTAACCAGCCGGTGGTTATTGATAATGTAAGTATGATGATGTCATTCATCCACACCCAAACCAAGGCCGCTCGCTTGTGGCTGTTAGCCTTATTTACCATTGTGTTGCAGAGGAGACCGTAGAGAGAAAACGTCGCCGGACTTTTTGTCTTGTGCCAATTCCTCACCATATTTGCTTGTTTTGCACACTTAACTGGTAGCGGAAGAAGTTTTTGTCGGGGATCACTGGAGCATCAAGATGCTACGAATGCAGCTAACGCTGTTAGCCGGGTGTTTAGCTGTGGATGTGGTTATTATGCCTAAGGATTCATCTCTGTGGTTAACATGAACATATCAAGAATACCAATAAGACTAAAAATTACAAGGCTGAGACTTAACTAGTTTCTAAGTGTTAGTGGTGAAAAGGAAATGCTGGATATTTTCCGCCATCTGCGCTATCTTAATGCAGCAGTATTGTTTCATATTTGAAGGATCCGTGGAAATGATTCATGTGGAGGAAACTTAGATTTGAAGCGCACACCGTGATGTCCCATCTGGCTTGAGAAATCTTAATTTTGCATGACAGGAGGACAGTAGCGGTGATGCAGATGGACCCAAGCTATGAATAACATGCTTTTCTCCTGACCCGCTTTGGTTTGTTGATCCAGTTCAGTCTTCTAGATCGAATTGTAATTTCTCGACCGAGCTGTTGTTGAAAAATTTATTTCCCCATTTCTGTAAAATGTAATTATTTAACAAACTTCCCTGTACTGCCCTGTCCTGCAGTTCTTGAATGGTATTTAGGATGATAGAGAATCAGTCTAATCCGGCTAGATGTGCTGGATGATGAAACATCTTTTAAAGCTGGTGTCTCCCAGATCACAGCATAGATCCTGGGATAATTCTGTAAAAACAAAGTGTTTGGTGAATAAAGGAGCTGTTCAACTTTGCTCCCTTCAGGCAGAGTGTGACTGTTGGTGGCTGAGTCTCATGATCTTCTTCTTCTTGGGTTAAGCAAAAAAAAAAAAACAACAACACATTTTCAACACTGATGCTGCATTTATATATAATCCCCTTTTCTCTCCAGGGTTCTGGTGTCATAAAGGCTGGTTTTGCTGGTGACCAGATCCCCAAATACTGCTTCCCCAATTAGTAAGTATCCACCTGTATAAATGTACATCTAGTTTAAAGTGTTTAAGATCCTTAACGCAGTTACGTCAGTTTAATGTTGGATACTCGCCGTCCTTCACTCCAGTTATACTTGTTTGTTCTGGGTACATTGCAATTGGAGCAAGCTATTTCAACACTTCAAGTGCATTCGTATTACAGACTTTACGGTAAAAACCTGGTGATAGAAAGCAGCTATACTTGTACTGTTTTCTTGTTATCAAAGTTAAAGTGTACTTTTTGAAGCCAAGGTACGATATTGAAATGGATTGAGAAGCAATTGATTTATAAGTTAATGAAAAATATGGGCAAATTTTAAACCTATAAATTTACCTCAGAAACTGAAATTCACGAAAGTCCATTTTTCTTAAAAGTGCTTTTTTTTTCTTAAATTGAGCAGGTTAGTGAGACGCATTGCCCAGGATTAAGACAAGTTACAATTAAGATAAGAAATAAAAACAACTGCAGGCTCTTCTTTCAAGTGCATATCTATCTTATTATAAAGGAAAAGATACTCCATATTCTATTGACAGATCATTTTATTAACCTAATCAAATTAAGAAAACTCCACTGGGCTTTCTGTAGTACGGAAGCCAAGAGCGGTCGTACTCAAGTTGTTATTTTTTATTTTTTTTTCCTTTGCCTTCTGAAGATAATGACATAAATATCTGGTTATCACATTAATTGTTTTTTTTAAATAACACGATAATTATCATGTTAACACGAGAAAACAGTTATTGATTTCTTGAGATAAGGAGAGGATTAACCTGTATGATTAATGGATGAGGCCGGCCAACTGCCCTGGATTCCCAGTCCATCCATGCCTGCGGGGCCCCTAGTTTTGCAGTCATGGTACAGCGTGTGTGCAAAATTATTATTTCCTTTTTCTTTCCACTTATTGTCAGATTGTGCTGGATGATTGGATTGCATGGAATACAATAGAAACAAATCCGACTGTTTTTTTTAGCCAAAATCTTTAATCTGGACTCATTTTGGGGATTGATGCATCTTATACCCGTTAGAGTTGGAAGACAGGAGCTGTTCTGAAAACACCCGGCTCATATTTAGCGGAGGCATAGGTCTTATTGGTTATGAATTAGAAGTGGAAACAAGTCATAAAAAAACAACTATGTGTCTCGTTACCTAAAAGTTAAACACTAGATTAATCCATCCATCCATATCTGACACGCTTGTCCCAATTGGGGTCATGAGGGGTGCTGGTGCCTATCTCCAGCAGTCAACGGGCGAGAGGCGGGCTACGCCCTGGACAGGTCGCCAGTCCATCACAGGGCAACAGAGACAAACAACCGTTCACACACACACACACACACCCCTAAGGACAATCTAGAAAAGTGGAGGAAGCCGGAGTGAGAACCCACACATGCTCAGGGAGAACATGCAAACTCCATGCAGAAAGACCCTGGGCCGGGAATCGTGCTACCCACTGAGCAGCCCCTAAACACGAGATTATTTACAGAATTGCACATAGGCCGCCATGACTTGTATCAATAAATGCTCTTCCGCTGTTGTGGTATTGAAGGACGTCATTAGTTTTAACATACACCGAAATGACCCCAAAATGGCTTTCTAATTAGAAAATTATCATCTCGTTATCACGAAAAAAAATGGCTTTTCTTATCTTTAGATAATGAGAAACTAACTCGTTTTCTTAAGAAACCACAGTTAAGAAGTATCAGAGGGACACGACCGCTCTGGGCTTCTGTACTGTAGTACTAAAGCACTGTTGTGCTTAGCAAAGCTGTAAACCTGGGCAGCGTCGCTAACCTGACTCCGCCAGATGGATTTGCTCCGCATATCCATCTGGAAACCTTCCGTTGAAGTAATTTTGGGAAGGG